CCTGCGGGCTCCTGTGACCTGGGCTGCAGTGTGCGGACTGCCCACAGGGGGCAGCACTGTTGAATGAAAGGAGCCTCGCTTAGCTTAGGAGCCTGGAACCTCGGGAGCACACTTCAGGTGATTTTAGACTGCACTGATCACGACCCAGTCATTTATAAACGACCTCCTACGGAAATGGAGAGATCATTCCAAGCCGCCGAGTAAGTAAGGATGCGCATGGGCAACGTTTCCTTCTTCGTGGCTCTGATGGATTCGAGAAGAGTCCCGAGGATTTAAGAATCCGGCAAAAGGCTTAGAGTTCAGCAAGCCTGAATGCTGGCCACAGACCCTCCCTCTAAGGCAGCCCCCCAAGTCCCGGTGGTGTGCTGACAAGGGAAACACTCGCCCAGCCGTCCGGGTACCAGCCGCTGCTCCAGACACATCCCATGTGCGACTTCACTTTATTTCCACAACCACCCCTCCGCTCTTACCCGCTTCTCACAGGTGGGAAAACACGGGTAGAGAGCTTAAGAAACTTGCCCCAGAGTACCCCCCCAGTGAGTGGCAGAGCTGAGATCTGACTCCACGCAGCCTGGCCCCAGGGCACGTGCCAGCACACGAAGCGGCCTCAGTTAATTACCCCTCAAAGCCCAACAAGAGCAAATACGATTTAAAGGGAAGACAAGAAAGGCAGTCGTAAGAAACACAGACGCAAGAAACAGGGCTGAGCAAGAAACTGGAGGAGGAGAGGTGCGCTGGTTGCTGTCTTCCCTTGCAGGTGGTCCTGCGGCTACCGGAACTTCCAGCCTCTGTGAGCAGCACACACTCTCCTGAGAGAGAGAGGGGCCCCCGGGTGCCAGGCTCAGCACTCAGCTCCCCTAGCTCTACGACCTGGAGCAGATAACTTTCTCTTCCTTTCTTTTTTATGGTGGCAAAATATACAGAACATAAAATTTACCATTTTTTTCTATTCTAAAGTGCATGATTTAGCAGCATTAACCATGGCCACTGTCCATTTCCAGAACTTTTCATCATCCCAGAAACTCTGTACCCAGTAAACAGTAACACCCCACCCGCCCCCAGTCCCTGATAACCCCTCTTCTACTTTCTATTCCTGTGAATTGGATTACAAGGATGGCTCATGTAAGTGCAGTCATGCAGTATTTGCCCTTTTCTGTTAGTTCATGCTGCTTAGCATGATGTTTTCCAGGTTCATCCCCGCTAAGCATGTATCAGAATTCCATTCCATGTTAAGGTTCACTAATGTGTGCATCTACCACATGTAGTTGATTCAGTCATCTACCGATGGGTTATTCCCACCTTTGGGCTGTTGTGAACAGAGCTGCTGTGAACATTGTACAGGGATCAGCCTGAGACCCTGCTTGCAATGTTTTAAAGTCTACACCTCAGAGTCGGGTTGCTGGGTCATATGGCAATTCTGTGTTTAACATTTTGAGGAGCCGCCAAACTCATTTTATTTTTAAACAGGTTTTTTTTTTTTTTTCTTCACTCAGGATCCTGGGCATAAATAAACTTCCTAATTATTTCCCTGGGCCAACAAGCAGATTTTTCCAGCCCCTTCTCCAGGAAGCATCAGCCCTTGCAATGTCTTCTTAGTCCAGGGCTCAGCTCTGCCTTCCACCTCACTGGGGTCTGCTGAATGAAATGTAAGCACCTGCGCACGGGTACTTTCCTCTGCTTACCTTGACGTTGCAACAGCCTTTGACGCAGCGGACCCCTTTTCCTTCTGGAATCACTTTTCATGTCCATTTCCTTTATAGTTGCTCCCTCTCTACAATGTAAGTTCTGTGGGACAGGGACATTTTTTTCCTCTTATTTTCTATTATATTCTCAAAGCATAAGATGGTATCTGGCACAGAGTAGGTACTCAAGAAACACTTGGTGAAGAAGAGAGTGCAATATACTTCTATAGCCTTTCTATATGTTGTCTCATTTAATCCTTATAATGCTCTGTGAAGGGACGCTTATCCCTATTTCACAGCCAAAAACCAGGACCAGAGAGTTTAAATAACTTCCCTAAAGTTAGCATGGCTAGAAACATTTATATTCTACCTGTAATCCAAGTGATAATGGCACAAGTGTGCGCCAGCATCACTGAAGGAAACTAGTTCTCAAAAGACCCCCAGCTACTCCTGAGGCCCTAAGGATGCTGCCCCTGCCAGTGGGCACGCTCTTGCCCCTTCCTGAGTCTGGACTTGAGGCCCTGTGGCATAACTGCCCTCTGGGCCCCTCTCAATGTCCCACGCCTTCTCAATGTCCCACACAAAGCAGAGGCCAGGCAGTGACACTTAACAGAACTGTCCTGACAGTGTGAGGATAATGAAAGCACCAACTGGAAAATAAACTACAAACATCCTGAAGCTCACACCTGCACCCAGGGCTCCTCATGGTGCTGCCCGGCCTCATTGCCAGCCTGGCCCTTGGTCTCCCACTGAACTGGGCAGCTCAGTGCCACTAGCGCAGCCCAGCCCACCTCCCCCCCGCCAAAATCTTAGTTCGTTCTAGCTGCCATAACAAAGTACCACAGCCTGGGTGACTTAACCGGAACTGATTCTCTCACATTCCTGGAGGCTGAAAGTCTGAGATCCAGGGGTCATCAGGGTGGGTTCTTTCTGAGGTCTTTCTCCTGTAGAGAGATGGCTGCCTTCTCCCTGTGTCCTTGCATAGTCTTCCCTCTGTATGTGTCTGGGCACAGTCTCTTCTTATGAGGACACATCATATCAGATTAGAGCCCCTCCTAACGACCTCATTTTAACTTAATGGCCTCTTTAGAGCCCCTGTCTCCAAATACAGTCACATTCCGAGGTACTGGGGGTTAGGGCTTCAAAATATGAATGAGGGGGACAGTGTCTGTCACAGACACAACAGTTCTGTGGGACAGGGACATTTTTTGTCCCACAACACAACCCAGCCAGAAGAGTGCACTTGCCCACTTTGTAGGAGGGTACAAATCCGCTCCAAGTTGCACTAAATCTCAATCACCTCCTCCAAAGATGACTGCAAACGGACCGATTCATCTCAGGCCCTCCTATCAAGTGGGGAGAATGCTCAAGGCACATGGTACATATAAAAGAAAGTGGGTGTCTGGTGGGGACAATGAGCTAGAAGGGCCCACTGAGCTGTAAAATTGTCAGGTCTTCTATTCCCAACATGTCCCCACAGAATACGAGTTATGAGATGATGTGGAAAGGGGGGCAAGGTTGAGGTGGGACGCTGAAAATGGAAGTCCACACTCAGTCCGGGATTCTGCTCATCCTAGAATCTAAGCCCCTGATTTAAATCCCGTGAATGAAGCCGTTACCCATCCTGAAGGAGCGGATTACCTTGCTTCACACGTATCAATGCAGGACCACAAAGCACGGCTTTCTTCCTCTCCTGGAACCATAAATTAAGGTCTGCTCTACACTCATCTGCTCGCCAGCTCTTGGCAGCCTTCTCTGGACCTCGGGGCTCTTTTGAGTACTTACAGTCTTTGTTCAAATAAGCAGCCTTCTGATGGCTGGCCCAGATGTGAGGCCCACATCTGGAAACTATCCCTTGTCTTGGCCCAGGCGTGCAGGTCTGGGAGACGTGTGTGTGTCAGGTACACCCACACCCGGCCTGGTGATCCACACACGAGGCCCGGGGCAGGACAGAGGTCTTGGAGGCTGGCAATGTTAGGTTAAATCCCAGTGGGCAGTCATTTGGAAAATTCTGGGACCTGCCAACACAGGGGTACTCCTATCCAATCATCCTTCCTTGGTTTTCTTGGCAGGGCCCACAGTGCCAGGCCTGCCACAAGCATCCAGCATGCAACACACTGAACTTGTTGTATCTTGCTGATACCCCCATTTTGGTCCATGGATGGGAAATGGTTTTCCAAGCTTGGGACCCAGTCTCCTAGTTTGGGGATTTATACCTAAGATTTATGGTGCAGGCATGAGGGTGAGTTCAGGGGGCTCCTATTCTTAAAGAAAGTGCTGTGCTATGAAGCCAAAAATACAGCATGACACACTTCAGACCAACAGAAGGAAGGAAATGCTCTGTTCACCATTCCTAAGGAACGGTGAGCACCAAAGAGTGGTTTGTGAAGGAAGGAGGTGGCATATCTCCAGAGTTTGTCTGAGCAAGTGCTTATACCAGGTACTTGGGCCGGTCCCCACTGACAGATTTAGGGGGTCTGACTGATCCTATGAGCCAAGAAGGATCCTCACTGATGTGCCTGCCTGACATCACCATCTTCTTCTTCTTCTTTTTTTTTTTTTTTACCTTGAATGAATTTTAAAATGTCCTAAGTAGAAAGAATTTAAAATACAGATAAGACAAAAAAAAAAATTATTCCTCAAATTCCAACAACAGGGATAACCACTGTTAACACTTTGGTTTATATATGCCAACCCATTTCTCCTATGCATGTATAAATACCTCCTAAAATAACGAAAGGCAACTGTCTAATACTATATATAATGCCATTCTATAACCTAATTTAACTATCTCATATTTCCATATCAAAAACATACAACTACATCTGTGGTATTAAGAGCAGTACTGCTGCTCAGGAGAGGGCTGAAAATCTGCAAAGGCATTTTTCATTGTTACAATAATGGGGGGTCAGAGGAAGGGGTGGGAGATATGCAATGGGCGCTTAGAAGGGAAGAGACCAGGAAATTGGATTTTCTACAATGCTTAGTCCAGCTGAAATTTGGAATGTCCTGATGGATATTCTTGAAGGTGGAAAAAAAACCCCCAAAAACCCTGTTCATAATATTTTCAGCTCAAGACCTAACTCCACTTGACATATAAACACAAAGCTTTTTGGCACGATTTTAGTATACCCTGAATTTTATAACAACGCAACTCCTGAGTTTTGTTTTGTTTACACTTTTTACTATGAATTGTCAACTCAACCATTTGGAAATCTCATCGGCAATGGCAAAGCCACCCATAACATTGGAGTCACTGCTACAACCACCTGGATCTATCTGTATGGTAGTCATTGCATTCATAGTGATTATACATACCTGGGAGTACACTTATTCAGCCTTTTCTTCCCGAAAGTCAGATACACAGAATGTCTGTAACATTTAATGGAACTTTGTCTTCTATTAAATCCCCACTTATTCAAATGCATATTCAAGCATCTGGCTTCTTCATTATATCTTCAAATGTAGTTGTACCTAAAAATTTGCAAATTGAAACTATTATCTGTTGGCTCTGTACACCCCTTCAGAGCCTGCTCTCCACCTATGGGGCTAGAAACCTCCAAGTTACAGCTTCCAGATTCCTTCCCATCTGGCTTCTCTGAGGGTCTGCCAATGGGAGGTACTGGGGGATGGAAGCAATCAGGGAGACACCATTTCCCCTGTCTTCTGGGTTGTGTGGTGTGCATGGTGTGGCATGCACGGTGGCAGCCACAGCGGCCTTGCGATCGGAGGCTCTGGTGACATCATTTTCCCCTTGGTTTCTCCAGCTCTACGGAGTAGTGAGTCCCTGTAGTTATTAATCCTGCATAACCCTACCTTCCTCTATATGCTCTCCCAGCCCTTCCCAAACCTTTATAACCAATTCCGTAGATTAATTTACTTCTGTTTGAAATACTGAGAGTGGTTTGTTTTCCTGGCTGGACACAAAAAGGGTAAAAAACACTTAAGATTTTATTCTATTTAACTTGTTTATATTATAGTCAGGCCATTATATCCTTTTTTTAAAAAAAAAATCATGCACTTGGTGGTGAAAAGGTACAAGCTTCCAGTTATAAAATAAAAAAGTCGTGGGAAGTGGTGTACAGCATGGTGACTATAGTTAATAATACTGTATTGCAAAAATAACAATAATACTGTATTGCATATTTGAAAGTTGCTAAGAAGGTAGATCTGAAAGTTCTCATCACAAGAGAAGAATTTGTTTTGAAAGCATGTAAGGTGATGAATGTTAAGTAGTTACTGTGGTAATCATTTTGCAATATATAAAAATATCAAATCATTGTGTTGTACACCTAAAACTAATACGTTATATGTCAATTATTCTTCACTTAAAAAAATTATGCACTTGGGTAAATATATTACCTATGAATTTAATTTTGGGTCAGCAAAGGGGGGGTATTGCAAAATAGTTACTGTAGAACAGTGGTGTCAAAAGTACTGGCAAGGACATGGAGACAAGGGGAAAGTTGTGCTTTGTTGATGGGAGTATAAATTGGTACAGCCTTTATGAAAACCAGTATGGAAGTTCCTCAAAAAATTAAAAATCGATCCTACCATATGCTTCAGCAATCCTACTTCTGGGTAAATATCCAAAGGAAATGAAATCCGTGTCTACGAGATCTCTGCACTCGCGTGTTCTCTGCGGCATTATACAGAGTAGCCAAGGAATAGTAAAAGTCTGTATGCCCACCGACGGATGAATGGGTAAAGAAAATGCGACCGATCTATAATGGAATATTGTTCATCCATAAAAATTAGAATTCAAATGCTGGGAGAGGAATGGAGGTCTAGGAGCTGGGGGTCGGGTGAGGTGGGGAGAAGCTGGTCTTCGGGTGGACGTTTGGATATGAGATGGATAAGCTCCAGGGGATTTAATGCCTCGCTGGTGACTGGTGCTAAGACTGTACTGTATATGTTAAATGAGCTAAGAGAGTGGGTTTCAAGGTGCTCCCCACACCAAAGAATGGCAACTGGCGAGGTAATTAATAGACGTGAATCAGCCTCATGTAATCATTTCACAATGTGTAGCGTATTACACCAGCACACGGTACTCCTTAAGTACCTGCTTGCTTTTTTTTTTTTTTTTTTTTTGGTCACTGATACCTCAAGGAAGCTGACAAGGATTTGTCTGAAAAAGTGTTGAGCCTGACAGAGCTGAAGACAACTCATCTGTGTCATCCGCGGTAGTTTTCCACATCCCGCCAATTCCCCTATTTGACACTGAGAGCTCTCAGCCTTTTCAGGACGCCGACACACTTCAGTGAATATCCTGGTACTTACGGCTCTCGGGGCATTGCAAAACCTCCGATGACTGCGTCTAACAGAACTCAGTTCTGCTGCAGTCTCTCCTCCTTCCTGGATGTGCGTTTTCGTAAAGAAAGACCAACAAAGCCTGCACTCGGGGAAAGCGCGGCGGCTGCCGGGGAGGCTACCGCGCAGGCGGCCTCGGGGGCGGGGCCGCGCGCAAGGAGCGCGCACCGGGCGCGTCCTCGCCGCTCTGCCGACGCTGCCGACGCCTGGAGCCCCGCCCGCGCCTGGAGCCCCGCCCGCGCTCTGCGCAGACGCGGTGCACACCAGCGCCAGCTGGGTGAGGTCCCTCACCGCCTCGAAAAGCCGCCGGTGGTCACCGAAGAAGGAGCAGCGGTCCGAGTGTGCCGAAGCTGAGGCAGGGAGCAAACGCAGAAACCATTCTCCAGCTTTTGCCCGATCTCTGCTTTGAGGCCAAGGCCGTCTCTGAGCAAGGGATTTTGCTTTGGCGCCTAGGGTTCTGAAGATACAGGTCTTCCGAAGGGAGCTACCGTTTCTGAAAGGGCTTCGTAGAGTCTCTACAGAGACATGTAAATCTTCCAGTTTTCATCACAAGCCTGAGGAGAGACCTATCTACTCAACTCTTCGTCTTCCCACCATATTTCATGACTTCTACCCGAAATCTTGTGAAATCCCTGCCTTCCCCTTCCCATTCACCCACCGGATCCAGCCACTCATCAAATGCAGTGGAGTGGGCAGGCGGGGGGGGGGGGGGGGGGGGGGGGGGGGGTTCTAGACGTTGTCACTCTCTCCGTCCTGATGTCACCTTGCTAATTATAATTCATCCCAGGGATTACTACAAGAGCACCCATCGGTTTTCTTCGTCAGGTCTCCATTTTACATTCTTCATACTCCGGAGTAAGCTTTCTCAAAATCAAATGTGAGCATATGGACCCTGATGACCCTTCAGGGCTTGCTAGTTTTAAGATCAAGTTCAAAGCCCTTAATAAGTCTCAGCCAGCCCCTTTCCTTATGTTTCTATACCCTTCTCCACACTGTACCCATCCACAGACAAATGGATTCCAGTTGATTGATAATAACATTAACATCTAATTTGTGGGGGAAAGGCTAGTAATAATAATAAGCAATAGGAGCATACAAATAGGGACGCACATGACTGGAATTTAAGCTTTCTACGTTTCTCAATAGGACCTCAAAGTTACTAAGTTTTGTTGAGTATGCATGCTAACTCTAGAGTAACCACCAAACAAAGACCTATTGCACATAATTTCCAAATAAATGGAGAAGGGAGAAATGAAATGATAAAAAGAAGAAAAACATTTTTAAAAGTAAAAGGCCAAAACCAAGAAGATAGTAGAACAAATAAATAGCACAGAGATCCAAATATATCAGTAATCACTATAAATACAAAAGAACTAAATATTCCAATGCAAAGATGAAGATTATCAGACTGGACAAAAAATAAAATTCAGATATATGCTGTTTAAAAGAGATACTCCTTAAACATAAAAGTAAGGAAGATTAAAGTCAAAGGATAAAAAAAATCACATACTAAGGAAAATAATTTACCAAAAGATAAATCAAGTAGTAATATTAACATCAGACTAAGTAAACTTTAAGATGGAAAGTATTACTAGAGATGAAGGTCATAACATAATGAATGGTAAAAAGTCCAATTTTTCAGAAATATGTAACAATTATAAATTTGAATGCAACAAGTAACAGAACCTCAAATATATATATATATATATATATATATATATATACACACACACACACACACACACACACAGAGAGGGATCGCTCTATGGCACTATGGGAGATATTGCTAAATTCACCATCTCTCTGGGAAATTTTAACACACCTATTTGATAAATATTTTAAAGGATTGACATATAGACCATAATCTTAAATACAATTAGAAATAAAAAAGATAACTAAAAACCCCATGGGTTTGGAAACATACATAAAACACTTAAAAACTGTTCACGTACTAAAAACAAAATTAAAATTGAAGTTAGAAAATATTCAGAACTAAACAATAATTAAACATTGTTCATCAAAATGTGTCAAATGCAACTACAGTGGTACTTAGAGAACAGTTTTATAGCCTTGGATGTTTATATTAGAAAAGAACAAGATCTGAAACTTAATAAGCCAAAGAGCCAACTTTACAATGAGAAAAAAAAAAATAGCAGCATAAGCCCAAAGAAAGGAGAAAGATTATAAAGTGAAAAGCAGAAATTAATGAAATAGAAAATATATATTAGAGAGGATCAAGAAAACCAAAAGTTGTTTTTTGGGGGGTAGGGAATATAGCAGTATTAACCAAGAAAAAGAAAAAAAAGAAACAAACAGTAATAGAAATTTTAAAAGGATTATAACAATAGGAATTTCAAAGTGCCGCAGACATTAAACAGATCACCAGAGGATATTATTAGCAACAGTAAGTGGTCATGTTGCAGTTAGTGACCTTGGATCAGTTCATTCCTTTTTTTTTTTTAAGGAGTTTTTCTGTGATTTTTAAAAATATTTTATTTTTAAGTAATCTCCACACCCAATGTGGGGCTCAAACTCACAGCCCCGAGATCAAGAGTCACATACTCCACCAACTGAGCCAATCGGGCACCCCAGTCCATTCCTTTTCCAATAAAATATTTGAATTAGCTGATCTCAAATATTCCGTAAAGCAGTGCTTCTCACAAATTAATGGGAATTTTGTTAAAATGCAGGTTCTGATTCAATAGGTCTGAGAATCTACTTTGCTAATAAGCCCCCTAAGTGATGTAGATGCGCTGGTCTGTATTTGAGTAGGAAGGACTTAAGGCATTATCATCCTATACACTGGTATTACTGTCTTTTTTGACCAATTCTATAGGGCATTCTGTGCTGCCTTTTTTTTCAACACTCACTCCCCAACTCCCAAATCCTTCCCGTGCCACCCAGATATAGTAAGGCTCAGATTCATCAGAGTTGAAACCTTAAATAACCTTAACCAACTTTTTTTTTAAAAAGATTTTATTTATTTATTTGAGAGAGAGAACGAGATAGAGAGAGAGAGCATGAGAGGGGGGAGGGTCCGAGGGAGAAGCAGACTCGCTGCTGAGCGGGGAGCCCGATGAGGGACTTGATCCCGGGACTCCAGGATCATGACCTGAGCCGAAGGCAGTCGCTTAACCAACTGAGCCACCCAGGCGCCCTGAAACCTTAAATAACCTTTAAAGAAGCAGGAAAAAACAAAACAAGCCCAGCACCCTCTAATTTTACTACAAGTTGCAACTAAAAGGATATCATTCCTAAAAGAGGACACCTGCAATTAAGCTCCCTTTGTTTTTTGTTTTGTTCTGTTAAGATGAACCAATTTATTCTGTATTATGGGAAATGGGTGAATTGAAAGTGCCATATAGACATAATGCCTGCCATTAATTTACTTGTAATGACATAGGATTGTGTAAGGCTTTCGTTGACAATAAACACTGTGAAAATTTCTCTTTTAATTATGTAAGTGGAATTTCTGTTTGTCTTCATACAGTGTTTCAGAGGCTTATCTTAATTATCCCAATATCATTCACAGTTGAATAAAAAGTCAGTTTGATGTGCAATGTGAGAGGAAAGAAAGTCTCCTACATAATGCCTTCTAAAGCATGAACTTTAACTTCGAATTCCCTTTGTGTAAGTCAAGGAGAAATTGATGAAGTCATTTTGCTTGAGTACACACAATGAGAATTTTCTTTTACTCGCAGTTTCTAACAATAGTAAGGGTTGTCATCTTTAATATTTAAGCCCAAGGCTGGAGGGGAAAAGCTATTTATGCACATGTCTTTACAACCTGGCAAAGATTAGTCTTCTGTTCCCACATACCTGGAACCAAGCAGAAAAATAAAACAGATTACTCTGGCATATCCTAGAAAATGTGTAAGCATTTTAATAAAGCATGACATCATCACTGGTGTGAACACCACCCTGGGTGTCCCTCTTTTTATTGCTGCTGGCACTTTCCTCAATGTCCTCACTCCAGCCTTAGGCCAGGGCTGAATGAGCAGGAGAAGGTATGTGATAAAGGTCAGGACTATCCCTGAAGCATTACAAGTAACAGGCCTGCAGGAGTATCCAGTATTCATGCCATGTCAGCCCCCTCCTCATTAGCTGCACCTCAAAACAAAACTCGCTCTAGACCCAAGTAGGCCATTTACAAATTCCAAGCACCCAAGGTAAACAGTTACACATGATCCTAAGACACCAAGCACTAGATAATCTGAGTGAAAGACCCAAGGCTTAGACCACAAAGCCCCTAGCCACTGAGACCACAGTTTTGTGGTGACCTCCTCCTTGGTCATAGAACCGAGCAGAGACATTTGTGATGAAGGCCTGGTTGGACACAGGGTAAGTGAGAAACTGCTTTCCATGCAGACAAATCATTTCTCAAGGCTGTGTTTCCAGAAACCTAGTACAGTTTTCAGACCTCTCAATAAGCTTTCCCAAAGAAGTCTAATCTCATATCCAGTAACAGACTTTTTCCATATCTGATTTAAGAATTGTGTTGTGACCCAGAAAAATGGTCATATACAGGTATTTCCTCATGAGATTCCCCTGATTATCCATGAGGTAAGATTGCTCCTACCCTTATAGGTGAGTACCCTGAGGCCCAGACAAGACCCAGGACTGGCTCCTCCATTCATCCTGAGTTTTCCAGACTCCAAATCTCATGAGCTTTCTGCTCCATCTTGCAATAATGTAACACGGCAACTCAGAGATGGATTTGTCCCTTACAAGTGCCAGTAAGCTCTAGACAAAAGTCACAAAATCATACTTTCTGATCACACCTAAGGAATAAGTCTGTTCTTCCCCAGAGGTATGGTCTTTATGTGTTAAATAATCTTGTCACTGAAGCCTTTTAAACATAATCATTTGTTACTCTTCAAGGTCTGTGAGAGGGAAGCTGTCTCTCTTGTTCACAGCCAAATCCTGTGACCAGATAATTCCTGGCACATAGTTTGTGCTCAACAAATATCTGTGACTCATTGCTTCACAACTACCTGTTGAAAGAATTCATTACTGCATGAATGAATAAGAGTTCATGGAAGAACAGAAAGATCATCTGTGAGGTCATCCAAAAGATCTGGGTTATGACATAAGCCTAGCTCTAGGACGGCCCATCTGGGGAGAGAAGGGATAGCCTAGTTAATATGGTAAATCTTTGGGCAAGAGATTGTTTACTAGTGTATTAAATTAGAAAACAAAGTTATGAAAATACATATCAGAGCCAATTGTTTAGTATTTTTTGCCTCTTTCTAGAAGCCTTCACAGAATAACCATACATGTTATTGGTCAGTCCCTCAGTTTCTTAGCCTAATTAATTATTTATTGTCAGTCTGCATATCCCTCAGTTATTTATCCACAAAACATTTACTGAACATTTTCTAGAGACCAGGCATTGTAGTTACAAGGGGGAATTCAACAAAACCCAGGGGCCCAAAGAGTGCATAATAAGTGCACAGACAAGTGAACCAGGTCATGTGATAGACTTCTGGTCAAAGTGGTAGAATGAGTACATGTGAAACCTCCCCCTTCTAATGCTAAACAATATATTGTAGTGCATATATTTAATACAACACAGATATGACAGAATGTATATATTTAAAATTATAATGTATGGTCATTGTATTAGTTTCCTAGCGACGATACAACAAAGTACCACAAACCCAGGGGGCTTACCCAACAGAAATTTACTGTCTCATACTCCTTGAGGCTAGAAGTTCAAGATCAAGGTGTCGTCAGGGTTAGTTTCTTCTGAGGAACCATCAGGAAATTCTAGAGCTTCCAATCAGCCTTTTAGGGTCTTGAATACTGGACACCCGAGGATCCTCAAACACATGAGGAGAACCTGTAATGTGAAGAAGACCCAAGTAAACAACCACAAAAATGAAACCAGAGGAAATGGAACTAATCAGAGAAGAGGGAACATTTAAAAATAGCCCCAAATAATATTTTTAGAAGCAAGAAAACACTGCAGCTTTAAAACAAGGGTAAAGAGCTATAAAATGGTACCAATTAGGGGTTAAGAATAAACTCTTGAAAATTTAAAAAGTAGAATGCAGCCAAAATGAAAATTTTCAACATGGGGTTTGGTAGGTAACATCGAATAAATTCATACAAATGCTAAGCAGAGGGAAAATATGAAAAAAAAAGATAAGAGGCATGGAAGCTTATTCCAGAAGGCCTAACATCTGACTAAGAGAACTTTCAGAATGAGAGAACAGAGAAAATGGACAGGAAATAGTTACTGAGCATTTTCTAGAACTGGGACACAGATTGCAAGAGCTGACTGAGTAACCAGCACAAGAAAGGGAAGAGATCCACACCAAGGTACATTGCTACCGACAACAGACATAAAAGAATGTTCCCAAAAATTCTCCAAGGAGAAAAAAAGAAAAAGCCTGGCGTCAAACTTCTCAACATTGGATGCTGAAGATGGAGGAAGTCAGTGCCTTCTAAATCCTGAGAGAAATGGATTCGATCTAGAACTTGGCTCCCTGTTAACCTCACTCTGATATGAGGCAAAACAGATTTTCAGGCATGTGACAGGACTCAGAATCTCTACCCTCCATTTATTCTCTCATAGGAAGTGGGTGGACTTTATGCTCTGGAAAGGTGACAGAGTGAACCAAGAAAGACAAAGAAGTGATATCCAGGAAAGGGTGGATGTCACCCAGAAGAAGCGCGAGGAGAAATTTCAGAGACAGAAGAGAAGCAGGGCCAACCTGAAACAGGAAGACAGAGAATTCAGGGGGATAAGACTGAGAAAGGGGGACTCCCCAGAATACCCAAGATGGTGGGTCACTAGGGCACGATAAAAGACGGATGACTGAACTGATGGAGTGTTTGAAACAAAATGAGTAATATCCACATCGTCCGAAACATGTGATTTAATTTAAAATAGTGATCCATCATAACGGATCATAGATACCATCTAAAATGGATAAATCAGGGACATGTCACGTATGCCTATTACATAGTCATGTGAAGGCAATGGCCAGAGGCCACGGCTGAAAGAGTTCAAAGTGGTTGCCTCCAGGCAGCAGAACTAGTATGCAAGAAGGGGCAAGAAGGGGTTAAGGATTGCTGTGATTTATTCCCAACCTTTGGGAATGATTTGATTTTTAGCTCTATGTATATATGACTTTGATAACAAATTTAAAACTGAAGGACAACAAGCACAGTGTGGTTAAGTGCCCCAAGAGGGAGGGGGAGGAAGAAGCTGGAGCCTTGAGTGGTGCATCAGAAGGGAAACTCTCCTTGAAGAGGTTGGTCACGATTACGTGAGGCTGGAATCGAATGCCTGTTTCATTCATTTATTCATCCGCCATGCTCCAGACAGTGTTCTAAGTTCTGCGTCTGTCTCAGTGAATAACAGACGTAGATGCTGTCTGCTATTTTCTCCAGCTGCCCGTGAACAAGGGATGCACATGTGTTCTCTTCTGTCCCCCGCACAGCACTTTGAATAATGCTGTGCTGATGTGGCCAGTAAATAAATCCTGGTTATAAGAGCTAATGAATGAATGAATCCTGTAACCCGTACAATGTACAGCCATGTGAATAGGCAACTAGCTATGAGGATAAAGAGCAATTTCTGGATGGGAAGTATAAGGAAATTTCTCTTCTAATCTAATGGCAACAAGTTGAGAGAAAATTTAGAAATCCAACATCCCAGAAAGTTCCCAGATCTCCTCTTAGCTCTGTAACTGTACATGTCACTTCATTTCTCAATATTACAAAAGTCTCATCCAGGGGCGCCTGGGTGGCTCAGTCGGTTAAGCGTGTCTGCCTTGGGCTCAGGTCATGATTCCAGGGTCCTGGGATCGAGTCCCGCATCAGGCTCCCTGCTCTGCTGGGAGCCTGCTTCTCCCTCTGCCTGCAGCTCCCCCTGCTTGTGCTCTCCCTGTCAAATAAATAAATAAAATCTTAAAACAAGTCTCATCCATAACATGGGAATGATAGTAATACCTCACAGCATTGTTACAGGAACCAATGGAGATAGTACTCTGTAAACTGTAGAGCTCAATGAACATTTTAATTATTTTATCCTTGGGATTAGACTGCCTATAACTTTTAGAATGATGGGAGCTTAGCACCTTGGATTTCATGGAATCTATCCTCTCATTTGATAGAACAGGAAACTGAGGCCCAGAGTGGGACAGTGGGTTACCCAAGATCACAGAGCCCGGCTGTGCAATGTTGAAGCTGGAACTCATGTGTTCTTATTCAGTGCTCCTTCCTGTCCAATCCCCTTTGGGTTCAGAGAGTTCAATTCAGAGTCTTTTGGAAGTTCTGTACTTAAGAAGTAAAATCTTATCATTTAAAAGTGGAAAAAAGATCTAGTCAAGGATGAAGGAATTCAACATTTTATGTATCGGGAAGTCCGAAGGCCCAAACGAACAAGTGTCGCTCTTGAGTCCAACAGAATCTTCTTATTCCACGTGATATGTGCTGTTGATATAAAAATGGGATCTGTAAAGGGGGGTTGTCACCAGGTAAAGTCCAGTGACACCACCTGGTGACATCAGCAGTGACACTACCCGTGAGGTTGTCCACAAAGCTTTCCCAGTAGTTGAACAGAGAAAAGGCGAGGCAATCAACGAGTTGGTGGGTGGCCCCCAGGAATGTGGTTTGTCACGATGAAAGCAGAAGGAGGAACACCACTGCTACAGCAATCAGTGCTATTTTCCCATGGAGAGCAGCAAGTCCGCTTTAGCAAGCAATACCAACAGTTGTGTTAGCTAAAATTTCAATTTTGTTGGTTTTGTGGTTTATTTCTGAATTGCAAATTTGTTTTTATGAATCTATGTGTGAGGGCTATGGAGTTACAATGGAGTTTAATATTTGTAAGTAACATTACTATAGAAAAAACAGTGTAAGCCAACAATAGGGATCCACACCATATTTCCCTTTAAAAGGGGTCCAAAGGTTGCTCAAGCTTAAAAACACGCAGCAGGCAAGGGGACACTGGTCCCACGGGGCCCCCAGAGCCAGGCTGCTTATTAACTGAAGCTCAGGGAAAGGCGAGTGAAAAACCGTCCTGTCTCATATCAAGAAACCCGGGTCTCCCGGAACCGTAGATTTCAAAATTTTCTCTTGTAAGCTTAGAGAATAATTCAAACCAAAAAAAAAAAAAAACAAACAAACAAAAAAAAAACACCTGGATTCCCTTTCACCCATTTTTCAGTTGAAATTCAAAATTTTCATCCTAAGTTTCAACAGTCACAAAAGATAGGCTTTCCAGTATGTTGTAAACAGTGGCATTTGCGAAACAGATGGTTACAGAACACGTTTAAGTATACACGATGAAGTGTAAATATTAGAAGAGTCGAAAACCTCCATCATTCATTTAAAAAGGATGTGAACCACTCTTGTTTAACTCTTAGAACAGCTGTATCGTCCCGTTTTCTCCTCGAACCCACACTTCCGTTGTGCTTGTCCCCCAGACTTTTACCCCTATGTAACACGTGTACACTCCGAGGCAGTAACTGATCACTCTATTGTACCTCTCTGGCACCGATCTAAACTCTGTAAATTTCTAGTGACAAGAAGTTACTAAGCATTCCTTTTCATCTGAATTGACTTACTGCTGCAACTCTTATTAGTTCACAATTGATCAAAACACCATAAATATATTTCAAATGTTGGTCTATAATGAGTACATATAAAAGTAGAATGTTCCTGGAAATGCCCCTCTTCAAGAGATGCATTCATCCATAGGTGAACATTACTGATTGCTGGAGCGAGCCAGTGTTCGGCTTCAATTCTATTCCCAGTTTTCATTCTTACACATTCCACAACTCTCTGATAAACAAATAGCAGGCATTTTGTTACAGCAATGGCACTCCATTCTTGAACCCCTTCAAAGGGATATTTCCAAAATCACATACTAATCCATCTTCAAAAATTACTTTTATTAATCTATCCCTTGACAACTCAATTAGGTCCTCCTCCAATTTTATTAAAAGCCAAAAAAAAAAAAAGAAAGAAACCATCTGATTTACAAAAAAAAAAAAAATGTGTTACTCCACCATCAGAGTCATTTAGTTTCTCAATTTTGGGAAAATATAACTGAACAGGTTCTACTAAAGACCTCGTAAATGATGATTAATTATACCCATTATTCTTTCACTTCGGCATTTTATTTCACCCAATATTACCAACAAGATTTTTAAAAATCTAAATACTGTTAATTTCACTATGCCTTTACCAAGAGTATTTTTGATAAAATGCTCTTACCTCATCAAGGGCTTTAAACCTATTTATTCGGGATGTGGGAGCAACCATTTGGCTCATTTAATTTACAAAAGATGGCTGTCATATAAATGAATTGACAAAGTCAGTCCTCATTGTCCAATCAATCAGCCAAATTAGACGTCAGCTTTCTAATAGAAAGAATTTGCCTTCCTTCTTCAATTCCAGTGAATGTGTTCAGATGTGTCTCTGGGATCACTTCTCACTTCACAGAGAACAATGGAGAGAAAGCGTGGAGCCCTGTTCCCACTGCCTGTTTTCCTCCTTGCTCGCTTTCTGTCCAATGGCAAGTGCTATGCCAATAGTTCGAGGATAAAAGAGGAGATATCCTTAAAATAGTCCAAACACTTAATCTGGACTAAAACTCCCAGCTCGGCAGCTGTGCCTCCCTTGAACAGAAATATGCAAAGACAGCACGTTTAGGATGCCTGATTAAATGCTAATATGCCAGATTGCCCTTGGCGTGATGTGACACTCTAGTTTTCACATTCCGAGGTGACCGTGAGAAGTGTGCTTTTCTTCCGTAAGGAGGAGGAAGGGCAGTTGGAAGGGGAGACTCTCAAGGGAGAGCTGGTCCTTTCTCAGGCAGGTCATTACCAGGCAGATTTCCAGGGAAGCTGGGGATTTGGGAATCCATTTGCCTTAACCTGACTCTGGAGTGTCTACTGCGGTAGGAGCCCAAAGACTTCCAGGGAAAGGTACCAAGAGTTGGATTAATGAAAATGCACCCCCAGATCCCCAGCCTCCTTGGGAATCTTCTGGGTCCTGATCCACCGGACAGAGTTTCTAACAGCACGCAGGAGGTTAGGAAGTGGCCCACCCTCTAAAGTTCATGGGTGAGGCCCAGAGGCTCCAGATGCCCCCTCCATGCCTCCCACCCAGACCCTCTCCAACCCCAGGCCCACGGTGGGGAACAATCAGTCCACAGTGCCTTGGAAGATGCATTACAATGCCCCGAGAGGTACAAGTTAGGGCCAAATGTTTAAAATATGCTCTGATTCCGGGACACAGTAAGACCTTTGAAATAGTACTGCAAATTTTAGTTCAGCCTAAACAAAGTCCAAAATATTATTGGTCAAGGTTCTAATCCAAACTATGGAGAGAGACTGCTAGGTTCACACATCAGTGGTTTTGTACAAGGCATGAAAACCCCAGAAAGCCAGAAAAGGGCACCCCAATAAAGTAACACAGGAGTCTTGGCTCAACCCACCTTCAGTAGTCTTTGAAAAAAAGAAAGCAAATGACCATGAAACTTCTCTCTGCTGGAGTAGAGGTTAGAGCACTTTTCCCATGAAGGTTTTGCTGGAAGTTAATTTTGGAAGGAGCTCAAAAGGCCCAGGAGCGCTGCAGGCACCCTTGCGGCCGGCAGTGAAGGGAGATCAGCTCATCTCGCATTGGCTTGGAGGATGGGGAAGTGGGAATCTGTAGGAGGCGAAAGAAAAGAATGTGCTTGTCAAGTTTCCGAGTCTCAGTGCCTCTGAAATAGGTGGAAATTATAGCTCAAGTCCCTCACCATGGGAACATCTGGAATCTAAGCACTTCTGTGCATATTAAGAGGACTATTTATAGTTTTCTACGAATGTTAGGGAAGGCAATTATGTAAAATACTACTGTATTATTAGGTATTTGAAAAATACCAGGCTTGCAATAAATGCAAAGATCTAAAAGCAATTCAGACTTCCACGAACTGTCTACCCGAAGTCGAAAAGTACTGGTTTATGTTCCCGAGGCAGCGACACCACCAAACACCAGCTAAAGTCTCTGCTGACACTGATAAATGATGTCACCGGGCACGTCCACCCTGCTCAAGTCATGTTGGTGCTGGTTCTGCACTCACACCGAGCCAAAGGGAAACGGGAGCCCGAGCCGCCTCTGGGATTATTTGGAAAATCCCCCCCTCTCCCCACCCCCGCCCCAAGCATAGGAAGGTGGCTGCTCAGACTGAGAGGAAGAGGCTGTGCACCTCGAGAAAGAACCCCAGCTAAGGGGGCTCTTGCTCTTGAACACCAAGCCTGCTGCTGAAAATCTTCTGAGGGTCATCGGCAGCTTTCTGACTTAGATAGCTGCACCTCATCTTGGGCTTCAAAGCATCTGTTTTTTTAAAGATTTTATTTATTTGAGAGAGAGAGAAAGCGAGAGCAAGAGCAGGGCGGGGCGGACAGAGAGAAGGAGACAAGCAGACTTCCCGCTGAGCAGGGAGCACCACTCGGGGCTCGATCCCAGGACTCGGAGAGCACAACCTGACCACAACCTGACCACAACCTGAGCCAAAGGCAGAGCTTAACCGACTGAGCCACCCAGGCGCCCCCTAGCCACACTTTAAATACTTGGTTGTCAAAGGACATTTCTATCGCTGCAGAAAGTTCTATGGGCAGTGCTACGTGAGATCTGACAGGAGGGGGGATTCGGTACTTCACAAATCAGAACATAAGAGCCGTTCAGCCGAAGGGTCTCACATTTATTACTGAACCGACCTACTGGTGTAGAAGCACAGTAACAGAGAAAAATCATTTCCCTGATAAAACGTCTATTGGCCAGGGAGGAGGGATGTTTACGGAGTGACAGGCTGGGAACGTGAGCTCTTCAAGCGGCTTGAATACGTGTGCCAATGATGTGGACCAGCTCACGTGTGATGCCTTAGAGCCCCCACTTGGCTCTTCTCTGGTGCCTCCTCTTGGAGTTCTACCTGATTTTATGACCAATTTTCATCTGAATCCTCTGGGGAATGGGACGATTCTGCTTTTTTTGTTTCGTGGCCAGGAATCTCTTGATTCTGAAAGTCTTGCAAGAAGACATGGCGAGAAACAGTCAACCACACACACCAGGAAGGCGGTGAGAAGGAGCTTCAAAGCATATTTCAGTGATTCTTACAGTCTGTGAGCCTGGGACAGCAATATTAAAGGCACCGACACGTGTGCAAAGCCACCAACGTTTGGCTGCGTCATTGCCTCGCTGGCTTTTGGACAAACTTTTGTTGTAGTGTCTTCTCACATTTCCCAGGAGCTGATGGGAGGGCAGGAGGAAAGTCAACAGGGCTCCAGTGGGACTGGAGTGCCTCAATGGCACTTCGCATGCACTTAGTACTGGGAGACCCAGGGTTCTGGGCCTGATGGGTCTTTAGCATCTCTAGGCCTTAATTTTAGCTGTGCTTGGGGATTCCTGAGATCATTCTTAACCCTGAGTCACTTATTGGTGAGATCAAGCATATATTTGGCTCATCTGAGCAACATCTCTGTCAGGGAAGAGCTTCAACCCTCAGTACGCAGAAAGAAACCAAAAAGCCAGAAAGTGCAGGAACAAAGATGGACATAAGTGGACACCATGGTATTGCTTAAAAATAGGAAAAAGCTGGAAATACTGGCATGGTTAAAAAAATGATGGCCCTCTCATAAGATGGAGTAATACATAACCATGAAAAGGTGTTAAAATTATAGGCAAAAAAAGTTCATAATATACTAGTAAGTAAAAAGAAGCAGGCTATAAATCTATAAATTGTACACACAGCATATTCCCATTTTTGAAAAATAAAATGTGTGTGTGTATATATATACATATATATATATACACTATGCATATGTATGTGTTTTAAAAAGAATATTAGGGGCACCTGGGTGGCTCAGTCGTTAAGCGTCTGCCTTCAGCTCAGGTCATGGTCCCAGGGTCCTGGGATCGAGCCCCGCATCGGGCTCCCTGCTCCGCGGGAAG